CCTTTATCTATTTCAAGGACTATTTAGTGAAAAGAGAGTTATCCCAATGGCCCCAGAAGGTACAGCCATGGGCAGAAAACAGAGGAAGACAGACTTGGGCCAAGTCTAATAGCTTTCACAATTATTTAAATTAAATCAAAAGGAGGATAATTATTTTTTAAAAAATAAAGATGTTTATGCTATAATTCGATACCAGTTGGTTGAAGGAGGTGGGGACAAACAGAAGTAAAATGGGATTTATGAGTAGTGTTGAGGGGATAACTCATTAGGTATGATATCTAGGGTCTCTTCTTTCTCTGAAAGTAAGAGACAGTACAACAAGAAAGTCTACTAAAAATGCTACCTTGACCATGAGGGATCAGATACCAGGATCAACAGATATACAAATGTGACTTGGAAGATCTAAATGATACACTGATGGGGATGGAGGGTCACATTTCTTACATATCTGTCTAAGAACATGAAATTGATGAAACAGACGAAGGATTCTAGAAATCTGAGTTTATTGGATTTTTACCTGAACCATGGTAGAAGTAGACAGATTGGCAATCAAAATCAAAATTATTATTATTATTATTTTTTGTGGTACTGGGGATTGAACCCAGGACTTAACACATGCTAGGTGAGTGCTCTAACACTGATCTACATCCAGCCCTCCCCCTCACCCCCTCACCCCCCCACTTCCCCGCTCCCTGCCTGTTTTCTTTAGTTGTAGATGGACACAGTACATTTTTTTTTTGAGAGAGAGAGAGAGAGAGAGAGAGAATTTTAAAATATTTTTAGTTTTAGTTTTCGGCAGACAAAACATCTTTGTTTGTATGTGGTGCTGAAGATCGAACCCAGGTGGCACACATGCCAGGCGAGCGCACTACCGCTTGAGCCACATCCCCTGCCCAGTACATTTAATTTATTTATTTTTATGTAGTGCTGAGGATCGAACCTCACACGTGCCAGTTGAACGCTCTACCACTGAGCCACAACCCTAGCCCCCTTTTTGTTTTATTTTGAGACAGGGACTTGCCAAGTTGATCAGGCTGGCCTGGAACTTGAGATCACCTGCTGCTTCAGCTTCCCAAGTAGCTGGGATTACAGCCATGCAATGTACCACTGCACCTGGCTAACATAATATGTATTTATAGGTCTGTTTAACACAACCCTTTCTCTTAAAAACCTTACCAGTAATATTGTGGAGGGGATGTAGAATATCTGTGTTGGGATCTTTTGTTCATAGAGTCTCTTGTTAAACTCTGTCACGTAGTACTGTGCAGTCATCTGCCGCTCCACATCAATGAAGTGGTGCCAGAGCCCCTTCTGCTCTTTATATTCTTTCCCAACATATCTATGAATAGAGAAAATCCACATAACATAGTAAAGTGATATTTTTTACTACAGAATAAAATTGAGAAGATTAAAAAGAGATCTCAAAAATATTACTTTTTCTCTCTTATCTGGTCAATATTAATTATCTTGACTTACTTTGTTATTCAAATGCTTTTGTCAGAACCACCTGAGCAATGCTAGAATAATACCCAGAATAATACCAATTATAAAAGGTGTCCACTTAATGGGGGTCTTCTGATTCTTTTGTAAGCCAAGGTATTCAACATGGTAGGTGGGGAAGTTGTCTAGATTCTGGAGCCAGATCTTTCAGTACCTGCAGTGTGGCCTTGTACACACCAATTATTCAATTCAAAGCCTCTCTCTATCCCTTTCTTGTATGCGTATTTCATCCCAATGAACACTTACTGGTTATCAACACCTATTACATTCACAACATTATGCTAGTCCTAAGTGCTTTGAAAGTGTGAGACATGGTTTGTAGATCTTCCAGGGCTCACATCACAGTTGAAGAAAAAAGGTACAAGTCAGTAAATGATTAAGTAAAACAGTAAGCACTACATTTTACTGTAGCTTACACACACTATCAGCTGATGTGGATTTATGAGCCATTTCACATGTGTCTGGAATGACCTCTAAAAAACAAAGGAAATTGTCAGAATCATAGACCTCAATGAGACTAAACTCTCCAGAAATTTCTGAATCCAATATATAATGGAATCTAAGGAAGCAACAGTTTGGGTCATTCAAACTCCTGAGGATCAGGAAACATCTCTGACAGGAGGCTGCAGAAGAGCAGCCTTCATGACACGAGAAAGCAGCCCAAAGAGGAGCAGTGGTCATAGCACCGTAGTCCAGTACTTCAGGAAGTTCTGCTCTAGACAGAACCTGAGATGGGCAAAAGATCTGGAGCAATTCAGAATTTTGCTTTGTGACTGTGGACAGAGATGTCCACAAAGGGGTAAAACCTATGGGTGCCAGTACTGAAGTATTTCCTGAATATTCTGCCAGGGGACCTCCAACTCTAGGTGTGGGATCAACAATCTGGGAGCACAGAATCATTCCTTCCTTCCATTTGGACTCTGAACCATTTTATTGGAATCATTTCTCTTTGGTGAGAATTAGTGTAGACTCTCACAGTCACTTTTCTTTTAATTTGCAAATGTCTTTATTTTGCCTTCCATGAAAGACAGTTTCAAGTGCATGACTTCCATAGTTCCTGACTTCTATTGTTGCTGGTGCAAAATCAGATGTGTATCTAATTGACATTTCTTTGTATGTACTCCATTTCCCCCTGCCCTCCGCCCCAGTATATACTGCTTTTAAGAGTCTTTTTTTTTGTCCTTGGTATTCTGAAATTTATTTAATTTTTTTTCAAGTGCTGGGGATTGAACCCAGGGCCTTGTGGATACTAGAAAGGTGTTCTACCACTGGAATGTTCTACATTCCAGATCTGTCCTTGGGATTCTGAAGTTGGACTATTATGCAGAAGTAGATTTATGATTGCTTGCCTTCATTTCTTTCTTCCTTCCTTCTTGTTTCTGTTTCTATACTCCTTGAGATTAATTGTGATTCTTGTATTTGAAGATTAGTGTTTTTTGAATTCTGGAAAATTACCAGAAATTTTCTAATTAAACATTGCTTCTGTTCTATTGGCTCTGTTACCTCCTTCTGATCAGGTGCATATTAAACCTTCTCATTCCATTCTCCACATCTCTTAGTCTCAATTTATTTCTCATCTTAGATCCTCCTAGGATATATACGGGTACATTAGTTTACTAAGAATGATGTAACAAGGTACACAAACTAAGTGGCTTAAACAGTAGAACTTGATTTTCTCACAGTTCTGGAGCCTAGGAGTCCAAAGTCAAAGTGCCAGTAGGATCATGCTCCCTCTGAAGGCAATAAGGAAGGATCTGTTCCAGGACCCCCTCATCATTTCTGGATGTTCCTTGCCTTGTGGCTGCATACTATAATTTTCACGTGGTATTCTCTGTGTGTGCACCTATCTCCAGATGTCTTCCTTTTTAAAAAAACCAATTACACTGGGTTAGGGGCTCACCCAGTGTGGCCTCATCTTAACTGCCTGTGAAATGACTTGATTTACAGTCTGAGTACTGGGAACTTCAACATATGATTTTTAAGGTGTTTTCAGGATACAGTTCAGCTTAAAATGCCTTTATTGACCACTTACATATGTGACTTTGGGTAAGTTTTTTTAACATCTTTGTGCCTCAGTTCCTTCATGTATAAAATGGGGACAATAATAGCATTTACCTCATTAGGTTTTTGGAGGATTAACTGAATCAGTCCGTGAACCACTTCAAATAGGGCCTGGTACCTGGTTAAGTGCATTTGCATGTTTACTGTTATAATAGTCAACTTTTCAAGAATTTTCAATTTTTACTGTTTACTGTTTCTGTGTCTCTTCTCTTTCCCCTTTTCTTTTCTTTTTTTTTTTTTTTTTTTGGTTTGGACTGGGGATTAACCCAGGGGTGCTCTACCACTCAGCCACATCCCAGGCCTATTATGTAGATTATTTAAAGACAGAGTCTCACTGAGTTGCTTATAGCTTTGCTAATTTGCTGAGGCTGGCTTTGAACTTGCAATCCTCCTGCCTCAGCCTCCTGAGCCACTAGGATTACAGGTGTGCACCACTGCACTCGGCTTTTCCCATTTTATTTCTTACATTATTTGGATTTAGATAAATAAAGAATAAGACAAACTTTTTTAAAGTTTTGGCTTATAGGTCATTTAAGAATATAAATAGTATAAAGTTTGGCCTTAAAATCAATGAACTAATTTTTCAGATGAGGTTCTGTTTGAAGTTTTCATCAAGAACTAAGGCCAGCACTGAGGCTGTATGTAGCTTAGTGGTAGAGTGCTTGGCACTAAGCTACATACAGCACATATAAATAAGCTACATACAGCACATATAAATAAAGAAAATAAAGGTATAAAAATATTATGAACAAAAAAATAACTAAGGCCAAGTAGAAAATTTTTTTAGACACTTTCCTCAGTGAAGTGGAATGCATACTTTTGTTGTTTATTTTTTGTTTTCTGGTACTAGGGATTGAACCCAAGGGCACTTAACCACTGAGCATTTTTTTATTTTGATAAGGATCTCACTAAGTTGCTTAGGGTTTTGCTAAGTTGCTGAGGCTTGCCTCAAACTTGTGATCCTCATCAGCATGTATGCCTCAGCCTCTGGAGTTGCTGGAATTACAGGCATGTACACCTGCATCCAGCAGGAGTGGAATTTTTAAAAGATAATATTTCTGAAAGCTGCTAGTGGTAGCACACACCTGTAATCCCAGTAGCTTAGGAGGCTGAGGCAGGAGGATTACAAGTTTGAGGCCACCTCAATAATTTAGTGAGACCCTATGTCAAAACAAAAAATAAAAAGGACTCAGGGTGTAGCCCTGTGGTAGAGTACCCCTGGTTCAATCCCCAGTACCAAAAATGGAAAAAAATAAGAAAGAGACAATCATTCCATGGAGAAAGTGCCGCCACTGAATCCCTGCTTTCCGTGAGTGGTCTCTAAACTCACTATTCTTTGTGTATATCTTTTGTCTCTAACTGTCCCCCATCCCACCCTGCCCCAAACTCCTATGGAGGGTACCTAAATGGTCCAGTGAATACTTACATCCCTGGACATGCTTCTTTCCTGGCCAGAGGATAGAGAATCTTCCTACCTTTTTTTTTTCTTTCTGTAGACTCACCTACTTATTTAAAAGTGTGGTTTCCACAGTTTAGCCTCTTTGCCAGCATTTTTTTTATTGGTTGTTCAAAACATTACAAAGCTCTTGACATATCATATTGCATATATTAGATTCAAGTGGGTTATGAACTCCCATTTTTGCCAGCATTTTTAGTGAGTAAGGCTCTCTGGCCTACCATATGACCAGGAACTCCATTTTTCTTATCTGCACAGTGGGCCTAAAAATGTTTCCCAGTGAATTTGAGATGATGAATATAAGACATCCAGCAAAATGGCTGATATAACATGATCTTCAATAATGGTAGCTGCCATTAACTAACTAGTGATAAAAAGAGAAAAGGGTAGAAATCTGAAAACATACATTTTGGCCATTTTCCCAGCCCTTTCAAAAATCTCATGAATGGAATTGGCGGAAGATGGCGGTGAGGGGAGTGCATTGCCCCCGAGTGCCGTGTCACTGTGCGGGAGAATGACGAGTAAGGACGGCTAAAGGCTATCTTGTTAGGAATTTCCAGCAAAAGTGGGGTGCTCCGGAACCTGGAGGAAGGATTTCCATCGCACGAGGATCGGCTACGGGGGCTCAAATGCGAGAGATTTGTCCGCACGTAGGGTCACCCTGCTTGTTCAGCAAATCGCCCCGCGGCTAGAGTCTGCGGCACGTGCTGGGAAACCAGGAGATAGCGACACAGGGATACAGCGCTGCAGTTTCTGTGGGCTTCTGCCAGCTGTGCAAGCACCGTACTCAGTGCTGAATTCTGGGTTTGAGACGGGGGAAGGAAGCGGTCCAATTCGGTTCTCCACACCGGTCAGACCACAGAGGAAGCCAGCGGCCACCATCTTGGAGAGCTGATGTCACCATCCCTGTTTTCGACTGATCGCAGCTCATTCAGCCACAGAACAGGTAATTTCAGGCTGCCATTCGCCTGCGGCTCGCAGACAAATTACGCAGGCTCAGTGCTAAATAGCCCGCGGAAACTGCTTCTTGGAGCCTGCTCTTATCAGAGCTTGCACCGAGCACAGAGCGGCCGAGTTCCAGCTCCAGGAACTGCTCTGGCCCAGGGCTAAGGAGCCCACGGAAACTGCTTCTCGGTCCGGGTCCTGCTGAGTACTGTGGAGGTAAACACCAACCGAGCCTTCGTGGGCAGTGGCAACGGGACTGAGACGGGGCTTGTGAGGGCCGGTCAGGACTCACCCGTTGCTTTGGTCACCTGGCAAAGGGAAAAAAATGCTGCCATTCGCATGGGATACCAACATGGCAGAGATCTGATGTCATCAGAAAGCGGCGGAGGAGAGAACTTCATCAATACCAGCGGCGACAGAAACAGTTGGTCTCCTGGTAGGGAGGGTGAGTCACAGACACCCAAGTCTTTCTTGCTTTATCGTCGAGCCAAAGGGGAGGAGCGGGGCCGCTGCCTGCGCCCGGAGCAGGCCCAGCGGCTCGCCGGCGTGGTGGTCGTGTGACCCCAATTGGAATGGGGGCGGAGCGGAGCCGCCACCCGCGCCCGCAAGGTGGGCAGTCCTGCGACCGACCGGCAGAACAGGCCCAGTGGTCCGCGGGCGTGGTAGGAGGGGCAGGGCAGAGCCGCCGCCCGAGCCTGCAAGGTAGGCAGACCTGCAACAGACTGGCGGATCAGGCCCAGCGGCCTGCCAGCGTGGTACACACGTCACCCCAACTGGAGTAGGGGCAGAGCAGAGCCTTTGCCCGCGCCCGGATCAGGCCCAGCGGCCCACTGGTGTGGTGGTCGTGTGACCCCAATTGGAGTGGGGGCGGAGCGGAGCCGCCACCCGTGCCCGCAGGGTGGGCAGACCTGAGACCAACCTGCAGAACAGGCCCAGGGGTCCATGGGCGTGGTAGGAGGGGCAGGGCAGAGCCGCCGCCTGTGCCTGCAAGGTAGGCAGACCTGCGACAGACCGGCGGATCAGGCCCAGTGGCCTGCTGGCGTGGTACACACGTCACCCCAATTGGAGTAAGGGCAGAGCAGAGCCACCGCCCACGCCCGGAACAGGCCCAGCGACCTGCTGGCGTGGTAGTCACAACACCCCAATTGGACTAGGGGCAGAGCAAAGCCACCACCTGTGCCCGAAAGGTGGGCAGACCTGCGACCGCCCAGCGGTACAGGCCCAGTGGCCTTCCGGCGTGACAGACATGTCACACCATTTAGAGTAGGGGCAGAGCAGAGCCGCTGCCCGCGCCCGGAACAGGCCCAGTGACCTGCCGGCGTGGTAGGCACGACACCCCAATTGGAGTAGGGGCAGAGTAGAGCCGCCACCCGCGCCCGAATGGTAGGCAGACCTGCGACCGACCAGCGGAACAGGCCCAGAGGCCTGCCGGCGCGACACACACGTCACCCCATTTGGAGTAGGGGCAGAGCAGAGCCGTCGCCAGTGCCAGCAAGGTAGGCAGACCTGCGACCGACCGGTGGAACAGGCCCAGCGGCCGGCTGGGGTGGTAGGCACGTCACCCCAGGTGGAGTAGGAGCAGAGCAGAGCCTTCGCCCGTGCCCGGAACAGGCCCAGGGGTCCGCGGGTGTGGTAGACAAGTCACACCAATTGGAGGAGGGGCAGAGGAGAGCCGCCGCCTGCGCCTGCAAGGTTGGCAGACGTGCAACCGACCCACGGATCAGGCCCGGTGGCCTGCCGGCGTGGTACACCGTCACCCCAATTGGAGTAGAGGCAGAGCAGAGCTTTCGCCTGCGCCCAGGACAGGCCCAGCGGCCCGCCGGCAGGGTAGTCACGTCACCCCAATTGGAGTAAGGGCAGAGCAGAGCCGCCGCCCGCGCTTGCAAGGTAGGCAGAACTGCGACCGACCAGCAGAACAGGCCCAGGGGTCCGTGGGCGTGGTAGACACCTCACACCAATTGGAGGAGGGGCAGAGCAGAGCCGCCGCCAGACCCTGCAAGGGAGACTTTTCAACTATACAAGAGCGATATAAATATATAGGGGGGAAAAATTTTCAAAAACACAACAGTTTCACCAAGCAGAAAGAAACGCAAACAGTATGAAAAGACAAGGAAAGAAAGGACCACAAGCAATGCAGGTCAACTCAACTTTAGAAGAGGTAACAGCTGCAGCAGATGAAATGTCAGATAAAGAATTCAGGATATACATGCTTCAGATGATCTGGAGTATCAAGGAAGACATTAGACAGCAAAATCAGACAATGAAAGATCACTTCGACAATGAATTACACAAACAAATCCAAGAAGCAAAAGATCAACTATATAGGGAGATAGAGGTTATAAAAAACAAACAGAAATCCTAGAAATGCAGGAAACAATAAACCAACTTAAAACTCAATTGAGAATACTACCAGCAGAGTAGAACACTTAGAAGATAGAACATCAGACAATGAAGACAAAGTATTTCAACTTGAAAAGAACATAGACAGCTCAGCAAGACTGTTAAGAAACCATGAGCAGAACATCCAAGAAATATGGGATAACATTAAGAGACCAAACTTAAGAGTAATTGGGATACAGGAAGGTATAGAGGTCCAAACCAAAGGAATGAGCAATCTATTCAATGAAATAATACGAGAAAACTTCCCAGACTTGAAGAATGAGACAGAATCCCAAATCCTAGAAGCCTACAGGACGCCGAATGTGCAAAATCATAAGAGATCCACACCTAGACACATTATAATGAAGATGCCCAACATACAGAATAAGGAGAGAATTTTAAAAGCTACAAGAGAAAGGAAGCAGATTACATTTAGGGGTAAGCCAATCAGGATAACAGCTGATCTTTCAACACAGACTCTGAAAGCTAGAAGATCCTGGAATAACATATTTCAAACACTGAAAGAAAATGGGTTCCAACCAAGAATTGTGTATCCAGCGAAATTAAGCTTCAGGATGGAAGATGAAATTAAAACCTTCCACGATAAACAAAAGTTAAAAGAATTTGCAGCTAGAAAACCATCTCTTCAAAACATCCTCGGCAAAACATTACAGGAAGAGGAAATGGAAAATAACAATGAAAACCAACAGTGGGAGGTAGGACAGTAAAGGGGGGAAATATAATCAAAGAGGAAAACAAACCATGTTTAGTAACAGAAATAAACAAATATGGCTGGAAGAACAACCCATATCTCAATAATAACCCTAAATGTTAATGGCTTAAACTCACCAATTAAGAGACACAGGCTAGTAGAATGGATCACAAAACAAGACCCAACAATATGCTGCCTACAGGAGACGCATTTGATAGGAAAAGACATACATAGGCTGAAGGTGAAAGGTTGGGAAAAATCATATCACTCATATGGACTTCGGAAACAAGCAGGAGTGTCCATACTCATATCAAATAAAATAGATTTCAAGCCCAAGTTAATCAAAAGGGATAAAGAGGGACACTACATACTGCTTAAGGGAACCATACACCAACAAGACATAACAATCATAAATATATATGCCCCAAACAATGGTGCAGCTATGTTCGTCAAACAAACTCTTCTCAAGTTCAAGAGTCTAATAGACCACCATACAATAATCATGGGAGACTTCAACACACCTCTCTCGCCACTGGACAGATCTTCCAAACAAAAGTTGAATAAGGAAACTATAGAACTCAATAACACAATTAATAACCTAGACTTAATTGACATATATAGATTATACCACCCAACATCAAGCAGTTACACTTTTTTCTCAGCAGCACATGGATCCTTCTCAAAAATAGATCATATGTTATGTCACAGGGCAACTCTTAGACAATATAAGGGAGTAGAGATAATACCATGCATCATATCTGATCATAATGGAATGAAACTGAAAATCAACGATAAAAGAAGGAAGGAAAAAGCATACATCACTTGGAGAATGAACAATAGGTTACTGAATGATCAATGGGTTATAGAAGACATCAAGGAGGAAATTAAAAAATTCTTAGAGATAAATGAAAACACAGACACAACATATCGGAATCTATGGGACACATTGAAAGCAGTTCTAAGAGGAAAATTCATTGCTTGGAGTTCATTCCTTAAAAAAAGAAAAAACCAACAAATAAATGATCTCATATTTCATCTCAAAATCCTAGAAAAAGAAGAGCAAAACAACAGCAAAAGAAGTAGAAGGCAAGAAATAATTAAAATCACCGACAGAAAAGGCCCAGTGGCCCGCGGTGGGACAGAGCTTCCAATCACTCCTGCAAGGTAGGCGGGCCTGCGACCCACCTGCAGAAGAGGAGCAGCTACCTGCTGAGAGGCAGAGCCGCCCCCTCCCCCTGCACCGGCAAGGTAGAGGGAACTGTGACCATGCACAGAGCAGGCCCAGCGGCCTGCTGAGGGGCAGAGCCACCCCCCACCCCCCGCGCCTGCCAGGTAGGTGGAACTGTGCCCACCGACAGAAAAGGCCGAGTGGCCCGCGGCAGGACAGAGCTTCCAATCACTCCTGCAAGGTAGGCGGGCCTGCGACCCACTGGCAGAAGAGGAGCAGCGGCCTGCTGAGAGGCAGAGCCGCCCCCTCCCCCTGCACCGGCAAGGTAGAGGGAACTGTGACCACGCACAGAGCAGGCCCAGCAGCCTGCTGAGGGGCAGAGCCACCCACCACCCCCCGCCCCTGCCAGGTGCCAACCAACAGAAAAGGCCCAGTGGCCCGCGGCGGGACAGAGCTTCCAATCACTCCTGCAAGGTAGGCGGGCCTGCGACCCACTGGCAGAAGAGGAGCAGCGGCCTGCTGAGAGGCAGAGCCGCCCCCTCCCCCTGCATCGGCAAGGTAGAGGGAACTGTGACCACGCACAGAGCAGGCCCAGCGGCCTGCTGAGGGGCAGAGCCACCGACCACCCCCCGCCCCTGCCAGGTGACCACCGACAGAAAAGGCCCAGTGGCCCGCGGCGGGACAGAGCTTCCAATCACTCCTGCAAGGTAGGCGGGCCTGCGACCCACTGGCAGAAGAGGAGCAGCGGCCTGCTGAGAGGCAGAGCCGCCCCCTCCCCCTGCACCGGCAAGGTAGAGGGAACTGTGACCACGCACAGAGCAGGCCCAGCGGCCTGCTGAGGGGCAGAGCCACCGACCACCCCCCGCCCCTGCCAGGTGACCACCGACAGAAAAGGCCCAGTGGCCCGCGGCGGGACAGAGCTTCCAATCACTCCTGCAAGGTAGGCGGGCCTGCGACCCACTGGCAGAAGAGGAGCAGCGGCCTGCTGAGAGGCAGAGCCGCCCCCTCCCCCTGCACCGGCAAGGTAGAGGGAACTGTGACCACGCACA